GTGGGCTCAGGCAATCCACTCACCTCAGCCTCCCAAAGGCGTGGGATTACAGGCTGAGCCACAAAGCCTGGCTAGCATATTGTTAAATGGACAGAAACTGGAAACATTTCACCTGAAAACCAGAACAAGACAAGGCTGCCCACTCTCACCTTCTCTTGTTCAACATTGTGTTGGAAGCCCTAACTAGAGTAATTAGACAAGAGAAGGGAATCAGGGGTGTCCAAATAGGAGAAGAGGAAGTTCAGTTATCCCTCTGTGCTGATTATATGATCCTCTACCTTGAAAACCCAAGAGAATCTGTAAAAAACCTGCTTTCACTGATAAAGGACTTTGGCAAAGTCTCAGTGTACAAAATAAATATGCAAAAGACAGCTGCATTCTTATACACCAACCAACAAGCAGGCAGAGAACCAAATAAAAAGCACAGTCCTATTCACAATAGCCACAACAAAAAATGAAATACCTCAGCATCTTCCTAACCAGAGAAGTAAAAGACCTCTACAATGAAAACTACAAAACACTGCTCAAAGAAGTCCAAGAAGACACAAACAAATGGAAAAATATTCTATGCTCATGGATAGGAAGAATCAACATTGTTAAGATATCCATCCTAGCCAAGGCAATCTACAGACTCAACACAATACCCATTAAATTACCAACATCATTCTTCTTAGACAATACAGAAATGACAATACAGAAATTCACACAGAAACATAAATGACCACAAATTGCCAAAACAATCCTCAGCAAAAGAAACAAAGCAGGAAGTATCACACTTCCAGACTTTAAACTTTACTATAAGGCTATAATAATCAAAACAGGCTGGTATTGGTATAAGAATAGGTATATGGACCAATGGAACAGGATAGAGATTCCAGAAGCAAAGCCTCAATTTCTCAACCAACTCATCTTTGACAAAGCCTCCACCAACAACCACTGGGGCAAGGAGAACCTATTCAGTAAATGGTGCTGGGAAAACTGACTGACCACATGCAGAAGGTTGAAACAGGAACCCTACCGATAACCATACACCAAAATCAACTCTAAATGGATCAAAAACTAAATGTAAAACCTCAAACTATAAGAACCTTAGAAAATGCAGGAGACAGCCTTAGGGAAATTGGAACTGGCAACCAATTTCTGATCAAAACCCCAAGTGCCCATGCCTAAGAGATAAGATAGACAAGTGGGAACTCATCAAACTAAAAAGTTTCTGCAAAGCAAAAGAAACTATCAAGAGAGTGGGGAGGCAGCCCACAGAGTGGAATAAAATATTTGCCAACTATATATCTGACAAGGCCTAACATCCAGGATCTACAAGGAACTCAAACATAGCGAAAGGAAAAAAACAAACAGTCCCATTAAAAAGTGGGCAAAAGACATGAATAGACACTTCTCTAAAGAAGATATATGGACAGCCAACAGACACATGAATAAGTGCTCAGCCTCACTCATCATCAGAGAAATCCAAATCAAAACCACACTGAGATACCACCTAACCCCAGTAACAATGACCATCATTAATAAAACAAACAACAGATACTGGTGAGGATGTGAAGGAAAAGGAAAACTTCTACACTGCAGGTGGGATTGCAAACTAGTGCAACCTGTTTGGAAAAGTGTGGCAATTTCTAAAAGAACTAGACATTGTCCTTCCATAAGACCCTACTTGGAATATACCCAGAGGACCTCATCATTCTACAAAAAAGATACCTGTACACACATGTTTACTGTAGCACTATTCACAATAGCAAAAACATGGAACCAACCATGTTGTTCATCAAAGCAGTACCAAAATGTGGTACATATACACTGTTGGGAGCCGGCCACGGAGGCCCACCTGAATGTTAGGGATCAAGGTGGGCCGTGGACCCTGAGACCACTAGGATGCGTTTGGGAGCTGTTGACCCCATTCCCTCCTCCATTTTTCATTTTAGCCAAAAGGATCTCTGCCTACCTAAGCTGAAGGCTCTGTGACTGTGACAGGCATGGCTCACTCTAGAAACTCATTGTTCCTGTTTCCCAAGAACTGCGGTTTCGGCTTAGGTATTAGATATAATTCAAACTCAGGTCCCATTTGGGAGCCTTCTATATGGTACAAGCTTCTTTACAAGATTTACAAGTATATTTGTAGAATTAGTATATACATATGGAGAGCTGTTTTTAGCTTTAGATGGTATAGATGATTATCTAGAGTTACCAGAAATGGCCCAGCACAAACTTTGGGCTGGGCCACATTCCTAAGGGCCCAGCATGTACTTTGGACTGGGCTGCATTCTTTTAAACTGGTTTTTAGCTACAGTTAGAGTAGGGTTTTTCTACTTTTAGAAATTGAATTTATTTTATTCATAGAAAGTGTTGTAGAATAGGTCATGCTAACGTCAGGTAATTATGTTAGTTCAAGCATGATCAATCATGATATTTAAGGTTTAATAAGAATACAGCTAACTTTAGAAATCTCATTGTTTCCATTTTCTACATTTGCAGTTTTGGCTTTAATACAATTTACAGTTTATATTTGGGTTTTGTTTTAGAAGCTTTATTGCTGATGATCAACTTTATATATTAGGATTAGGTATTAGAAACTTTTATAGAAATTAAGATAGATATATAGGATTTTAGAATAGCCATTTTGTTAAGAGATTGTAATCAATTGTTCCTAGGAATGGCCCAGTGTGATCTTTGGACTGGGCCACATTCTTTAGGGACTGGTTTGACCTATAATTAAGAGTTTCTATAGTGTAGATAGAATTAGCACAGAATAAAAAGGTATTAGGATTTAAGTTAGTCATTAGGTGTTGTGTATGCATAAGCTTTAGAAGTTATTGGCTATTAAAATATCATGATGTTAGAATTGTTATATTGCTTTTGAGGAACATTAACCAAGCATAAGGAACAGTGAGATAATTTTGGGATTGTTCTTCCTCGTGCTTGGGAAAACACCTGGTGGGGGGGGGCACCCCTCATCCACCTGGCTTTGTGTTCACATGAAAGTCTTGTGATTTAACCTGTGAAAATTTGGGATAAAAGACTTACGGTTTGTCCCATTAAATGGCTTCTGCTCAATCCGTTGAACAGTTGTCCATTTTCTTTCTTTCTCTTTCTCTTTTATATCTATCCCTCCATCTTTCTTTTAATATCTACTACAGAATTGGCTTCTGCACTAGACAGAGTCCAGTTTCTTTCTTTCTTTCTTTTATTATCTATACCTTCCAGTTTCGCCGACGCCACCGCATCTTTCCAGGGACTCCCCAAAACCTGCAGGGGTTGGCTCCCCACAATACACAATGGAATATTATGCAGCCATAATATTTGTCCATAAGAAGGACAAACTTGGGTCAGGCTCGGTGGCTCAGTCTGTAATCTTAGCACCTAGAGGCTGAGGTGAGTAGGTTGTCTGAACCCATGGGTTCGAGGCCAGCCCAGGCAACTTGGCAAGACCTCATCTCTACAACAAATCAAAAATTAGCTGAGCATGGTAGCACACACCTGTAGTTCTGGCTACTTGGAAGGCTGAGGCGGAAGGATCACCAGAGCCCAGCAGTCAAAGCTGAGGTGGCCATGAGTGTGCCACTGCACTCCAGCCTGGGCAAGAGTGAGACTCCAACTCAAAAAAAAAAAGGAAAGACAAACGTATGGACTTCACAGCAACTTGGATGGATTTAGAGTCTATCATATTCAGTGACCTATCACAAAAACAAAGAACAGAGTACACCATGTTCTCACTCATAAGCGGATCCTGAACATTTACCATAATATTATAAGGAAGGGTTGGCAATAGTGGGATGCTGCTGGGGTGGGTGGGGAGGAGCACAACAACAATAAGGGTACCTGAGCTTAAATCAGGCAAAGTAGAGACCAAAGGGAGGTCCAAACTTTACCTGTACAATGGCCACTTGTATAACTGCCCCTGAATTGTACCCCACATCTTTAAAATAAAAAAAAAATTTAAAGACAAATAAAAAATCTAATATAAAAAAACCTAATATAAATCTAGAGATTAAATTACTTTAGGAGGCTGGGCTCGGTGGCTCAGCATGTAATCCCAGCACTTTGGGAGGCCGAGGTGGGTGGATTGCCTTAGCCTGTGGGTTCGAGACCAGCCCTGGCAAATTGGTGAGACCTAGCCTCTACAATAAGTCAAAAAAAAATTAGCAGGCACAGCAGCGCATGCCTATAGTTCCGACTACTTGGAAGGCTGAGGCTCAAGGATCACCAGAGCCCAGCAGGTTGACACTGGGGTAACTGTGAGCGTGCCACTGCACTGCAGTCTAGACAATGGAGTAAGACTCCAACTCAAAAAAAAAATTACTTTAGCAATATTTTTGAAATTTCATTAAAGTAATAATTTAAAACTATATTATAATTTATGCAAATTTCTCAGATATAAATTCTTAATCTCTTAACATACATGAACTACATCTGCCAACAATCCGTTAAGCTTTGGGTATTTTTTTCTTGCATTTTTGGGGTGTTGAACTTGAGGAAGAACCACCCCATCAAAGATGGAGCTCTTGGAAAACATATTTTGCAAGTGAGGTGTCAAATCACCTGAAAAGAGAAAAAATATGTATATTTAAAAGATAGAAAAATTAATCTACAATTAAATTAATCAAATTGCTGTGTAATCTGCATTAAATTACTAAAAACTGAGACAAGGAAGAATAATAATTATGCCTTTTAATTTTTTTTGAAATTGAACAAGGAACTATCTAAATATGTCACTTAAAAATTGAGATTTCCCCCAATAATCTATTGATAGCACATAGGCAGCAGAGAATGTAAATCCACCAGGTTTATTTTCTTTACCTAACTATAAGACATAATATGTATGTAATGCTGTCAGAAAAAACACTTCAAACTTTTACACAATTCCAAATGGGTTTCTAAATGATTAACTACCAAGTGTCCATTAGGAAAGCAAGTTGAAGCCTTACTCAAACAGCTAAAATATTAAAATTACGTAGAAGTAAAAATATTGCAAGAAAGAAACAAGGCTAGAGAATAGTAGTAGAATGGAAAGAATATAAATAGTAGTGCAGAGAACTAAGTTTTGCTATAATTAGTTCTGTGACCTTGGATAAATTCCTTCCTTTTTTGTGTCTTGGTATTCTCATCTGTATGAAATGACAGGATTAAATGCCACCATCTCTAAGGTGCCTTCTAACATTATTCTCATAACCAGAACTTTAAAGAAGACACAAAAAAGTATGATGCTTTAAGGCTCTGAACTGTATCTTAAGTCAATATTTATCCAGATTTCACTCTTTTATAATTGTTCACAGCACCTTCTTCATGATTCTATAATTACATGTTTATATAGATTTTCTCCCACCACACAATGGGTTACTCAAGCTCCTCATTCAGGAATATTAAAAAAAAAAATCAGTAATATACCATGCTCAAGTCTAACTAAAAATATTTGGGTGGTCAAAGCAGATCATCAAATAATTAAACTCTCATCAAATAGATTCTTGAATAAATTACTTAGCTATCTGGCTATTATCTTTTATTTTTTTTTAAACAAAGTGATTTCTGAGTAAATAATTATCTATCTCCAAGTGCTTTAAAAAAGCATCTGACTCAACTCCATTATTGTTTAGAGGTACAAATATTTGTAGAAGACAAAATTTAAAAACAACTTTTAGACAAACTGAAGTACATTCCTATTGTACTATTTTTATTAACATCTACTGTTAATATATGGCTTAGCTATTTGCATCCTAGCAAAAAAAATATTATTTGCAAAAAACAGAATTTCCTACCTTCTTTATCAGCCCAAGGCATCCATCTGCTGCTATCTATCAAAACAGTATGCCTCCTTGTTCTTATGCATAAAAGCTAAATTTGAAAATCAAGCAGGATTAATCTTGCAATATTTATTTTAGACATGTAACAGAACATTTCAGTAATACCTACCTACTTTTAAAACAATTTTATGGAGTAAATCCAAATCAGAGCTGCTAGGAAGATGTGGATTTCCAGTGGCCATCTCAATGGTCATACAGCCCAAAGCCCAAATATCCACAGGTCTAAAACAGATCAGAATAAATCATGTTTTCATGCAGAAATATGTAACATATCTCTTTTTTTTCTTTGAGTCTCTCTCGGTCGCCCAGGCTAGAGTGCAGTGGGCCTCTCACAGCCACCACAGTCTCGACCTGCTGGGCTCAGGTGATCCTTCCTCTTCAACCTTCCAAGTAGCTGGAACCATAGGTGTGGGCCAGCACAACTGGCTAATTTTTTGATTTATTGTAGAGATTAAGTTTCACCAAGTTTCCCAGGCTGGTCTTGAACCCCTGAGCTCAGGCAAGCCTCTCACCTCTGCCTCCCAAAGTGCCTGGGATTACACGTGTGAGCCACCAACCTTGGCCAGAAATATCTAAATATCAATTCTTTTTTTTTTTTTTTTTTTGAGTAGCAGTCTCATTCTGTCACCCAGGCTGAAGTGCACAGCCACTGCAGCCTAGACCTGCTGGATTCAAGTGATCATTTTGCCTCACTATTCTTAAAAACATGTTTTGGCTCATGCCTAAAATTCCAACACTTTGGGAGACTGAGGTGGGAAGATTGCTTGAGCCCAGGAGTTTGAGACCAGCCTGGACAACATAGTAAGATCTCGTCTCTACCAAAAAAAAAAAAACAAAAGCAAAAAATTAGGCAGGGCACAGTGGCTCACTTCTGTAACCCCCAGTACTTTGGAAGGCTGAGGTGAGAGGATTGCCTGAACCCATGTGGTCAAGACCAGCCTGGGCAACTTGGTGAGACCTCATCTGGGCAACTTGGTGAGACCTCATCTCTACAATTAAAAAAAAAAAGAAGAAGCCGGGCTCAGTGGCTCAGCCTATAATCCCGCACCTTTGGGAGGCTGAGGTGAGTGGATTGCCTGAGCCCAGCAGGTCGAGACCCACTTGGGCAGGCGAGACCTCATCTCTACAATAAATCAAAAAATTAGCCGGGCGTGGTAGCACGCGCCTGTAGTTCCAGCTACTTGGAAGGCTGAGCGGAAGGATCACCAGAGCCCAGCAGGTCGAGCTGCGGTGGCCAGGAACGGCCACTGCACTCCAGTTTGGGCGACAGAGGAGACTCCAACTCCAAAAAAAAAAAAAAAAAAATGACTAAGTAAATTGCTGTGCAAACACAATGAAATATTATTCATCTGTTAAAAATAGTGAGGTAGGTCTATCTATATATGATGAAATATGGAATGATCTCCAAGGTAAATTGTGAAGTGAAAAAAAGGAAGACTCATGAAAGATATCAAAGAAGATCTAATAAATAGAGATCTTTTATGAAGAGGTATTTCATGTTCATGGATGGGAAGATTCAATATTCTCAGGATGTCAGTTCTTCCAAGCTTCATATATTCAGTGTAATCCCAGTAAATTTAAAAATGGTCATTATGTGAGACAACACATATGTCAGTTAGCTAGATTTAGTCATTCCACAGTACATATATACTTCAAAACATCATGTTGTATACAATAAATACACACTTTTTTGTGACAGGATCGCACTCTGTTACCCAGACTACAACACAGTGGTGCAATCATAGCCCCAGGACTACATAGCCCAGTTAATTATTTTATTTATTTATTTTGTAGAAACCAGGTCACACTCCATTGCCCAGACTGGTCTCAAACTCCTGGTCTCATAGCATCCTCCCACATCGACCTCCCAAAGTGATGGGGTTACAGGTGTGAACCACAGAGCCCAGCCTCAAACAGACAATGAGATACCACTTCAAATTCATTAGGAAAGCTAGAATAAAAAAGTCAGATAATAACAAATGTTGAAAAGGATGTGGAGAAATTATAGCCCTCATATTCTGCTGCAGGGAATATAAAATGGTGCAGGTGTTTTGGAAAACAGTCTGGCAGTTCCTCAAACAATTAAACATAAAGTCACTATATGATCCAGCAATCATACTACTAGGTATATATCTAAGAGAAATGAAAACATGTCCACACAAAGACTAATATATAAATGTTTGTAGAAGCATTTTTCTAATAGCCAAAAAGTACTAAAGGTTCTTCAATGACTAAACAAAATGTATTATATTCATACAATGGAATATTATTTGGGTAGAAAAAGAAATAAAATCCTAATACATACTACAACTTGAATAAACCTGGAAAAAATTGTGCTAAATGAAATAAGTCAGTTACAAAATACCAGACATTATATCATTCTGTTCATATTATATAAAAGCCCAGAATAGGAAAATCTATAAAGATAGAGAGTAGATTGGTGACTACTTAAATTTGGGGAAGAAGGTCGGGGCAGAAGAATGTAATAGCTAAAGGGTATGGCGTCTTTACTGAGACAATGAAACTGTTCTAAAATTGACTGTGGTGATGGTTGTGCATATCTGTGAATATACTAAAAACCACTGAAATTTATGTCAATGGGTGAACTGTATTGTGTGTGAATTACATCTCAATAAAGCTCTTTTTTTCAAAAAGATATCTATATCTCTATCTATGTATCTATCTACCTGCCTGCCTACCTACCTATCTACTTATGGCTCACATCAGGTCTGGGGGAAAAAACAAGTAAAAGATGAGCAAGTCAGGTAGCAAGAAGACTGTATCCTAGGTCATGTTTTAAAAAAACTTGAGAGCTACCTTGAAAAGGCTCCCATTGATTTTGAACTTCAATAATAATAATAGTGTTAGGGCTCAGTCATGATATCCAAATTATGGTACCTTGGCTATACTTGGAACTGAAGGAGATTTAGGAAGGGTCTCAAAATCAAGGTCTCTCTGACTTTCTCCTGCACTCCTTTCTTCCCCAAGGAGATCATAGAAACCAGAATTCCTTCTCCTCTCCTCACCCTGAAGTGAACCACAGCAACTAAAACTCCTTTCTTCCAAAGCAAGCCATAACACCTGGAAAGATAGGCTGGGTGTGGTGATTACAAGTGGTCATACTTGTAATCCCAGCACTTTGGGAGGCTGAGGTGGGAGGGTCATTTGAATCCAGAAGTTTAAGACCGACCTGAGCAAGATACTGTTAAATAAAAACTTTAGGAACATTAATTTTAACAGAGTTTATTTGAGCAAGAACAATAAATAAACACTGTTAAATTTAATATGTCTAAAGTTTTTATTTTAACAGATTTGGTGTCAGAAGTGGAATCTGAAGTAAAACTCCAGCAACCCCCAGGAACACCAGGTGACCAGGTGAAGTGCCCACAGAGCCAGCTGTGTCATTGCTCTCTTGATTGTAACTGTAGTCAGGAGTGAGTTTCTCTCGGATATCAAACTCCACTAATTTGTGTTCTGACTCTCTGAGTTTATTTGCACAATATTTAGACTGAGCTGGGTCCAGGATCAAATTGGATTTGATAATTAACTGGATTGAATTCAGTTAGAGGCTTTGGACCTCAGGTAGACATCTTTACAAAAAAAATAATGTGTTCATCTCAATCCCCAAATCTGAGACTCCACCTTCTGATACTCCAGCTAATTTCACATATAAAAATCATGGGCCCTAGCCGGGCTCGGTGGCTCAGCCTGTAATCCTGCGCCTTTGGGAGGCTGAGGTGAGTGGACTGCCTGAGCCCGCGGGTTCGAGACCCGCCTGGGCAGCAAGACCTCATCTCTACAATAAATCAAAAAATCAGCCGGGCGTGGTAGCGCATGCCTGTAATTCTGGCTACTCGGAAGGCTGAGGCGGAAGGATCGCCGGAGCCCAGCAGATCGAGTCTGTGGTGGCTGGGAGCGGCCACTGCACTCCAGTCTGGGCAACAGAGTGAGACTCCAATTCAAAAAAAAAAAAATCAGCCAGGCGTGGTAGCGCATGCCTGTAATTCCGGTTTCTCGGAAGGCTGAGGCGGAAGGCTGAGGCAGAAGAATCGCCGGAGCCCAGCAGGTGAGGCTGCGGTGGCCAGGAGCGGCCACTGCACTCCAGTAAGGGCGACCGAGAGAGACTCCAACTCAAAAAAAAAAAATCATGGGCCCAGAATGTGTGCATTTTTAGAAAAATGGGTTAACCCTACTAGAGAAAACCAGTAGCTTGTATTACAGGTGTGTGTGACCACACCTGGTTAATTTTTTTATTTATTGTAGAGAGAAGGTGTCACATGTTGCCCAGGCTGATCTCAAACTCTTGGACTCAGGCAATCCTCTTGCCCCGGCCTCCCAAAGTGTTGGGATTACAGGCATGAGTCACTGTGCCTGGCAGGATGTATTTATTCATTGGTACATGGAGGTCTCTAAAAGACTAAATGAATCAAAAATTGCTTCCTTAAAAGATTCATCTGCAAAAAGCTAATGAAAAGCTTAAGCAACAGACTAAGGACATGATGAGAGAGGACTGTACTCTGACTGAACTACCCTGACTGTTCTTTCTATTTATCTGTCTCTACCTACATACTCTGAGACTACTAACCTTTTTGCTGAATCACCCTTTTGCCCTGAAGATGATGAAAAAAGAGAAATTAGACAGCTGCCTTACAAGGTAAGAACTTCTGATTAGCCAGGCTTGCCTGCTGTCACCACATTCATTCCATGGTCTAAAACTGGGCTTAGAGTCATTGTAAAAGACTTCCCTGATCCAAGAGAAAATCCTCAAAAGTTCACTGAGGAATTTAGAATCCTCATGGGAGCTTATGATCCAGGATTCTCTAACTTTTATTAATTTATTTACAGGTTACTGGGGGCTGGTGAAGGTAAAAAATGGATGGCAGCAATAGAATGGGACAAATCTGAGGAGGAGATTAAAGACCCCTCCAAAACTTCCTCATGAGAAGGACCAAAAGGAGCTAGAAAAAGTGCTGAAAATATTTTAAATTCAATTCCTAAAATTTTCCCACAAAAAATTAATTGGTCTATCATTTAATCTTGCAGACGAAAGATGAACCAGTTTTAGATTACAGAACCCACTTAGAAACACTATATGTGAAACATTCTGGGCTCAAAGTGCCCAAGGAATATTTTCTGAAGAGACTAAAACAGCATTAGCTGCTCTATTTATAAATGGACTCTGTCCTGAACTTAGCAGTTTAATTTAAAAACATAAACTAGGA